ATATCTCTGAATGCTCCAGCTATATCTATGTAGGTCGGGAAATCAATACGATGAACGACCTAGCTCCAGAGCTGAGCGGAAGGAAACGAGTGGCTTGGAGAGCTTTCAAGAGAATTGATGCCCATCTTTTCGACTCGACGGTATTTCCTGCGTTAACGTATGCGTCACACTCGGCGTTATCGAACACGCAGTCGAAAGGACGATGCTAGGAGCACGCAGTCGAAAGGACGATGCTAGGAGTGCCGTCTCACACAAAGGAAGGGATCCGAAGCTGAGGCCTGCGTCAACGATCAAAAATCAAAGATGCTGTTCTGTACTTCAAACATTCGAAAATAAAGTGGGGCGAACAAATAATACGTATGAATGACAACCGATGGACAACAGTCGTTAGCGAATGGATTCCTTGGGATTTTAAACGCATTGCAGGAATACTAGCGACACCGATGGTGAGAGTTTTTCACAGAAAGCCAAGAAAAAAGATGATGCTCAACGAGTCCATAGACCGAGCAGGACCTACTGCGCTACTTTTGCACGCGACAGGGAAAAATGGAAGATTTACTTGCGCCCGCTCCTGTCACTCGACGATCAACGGGATTACAGCTGATACAGGTGACACGCTTCCTGATTGAAACGCCAGACTCCTTCTCAGCTCTGGACACTCTAGCAGTGGTATGAATCTCCCGTTGCACATCGCAGTCCGACACCTAGGAACATCCCCAGTCACGATGAGCCGGTAAACTGTTGAGAGCAAATCAAATATGCCTGAAACAAAACTCCAAATGTAATCGAGATCTAAATATTAAAAAGCGTGAGGAAACGAGACGATAGCATGGATAGCAACAACCATTTATTACACATTTCTAACATATTTTCGAACATTTCCATAAAATAGCACAGTATAGCTTTGGAAATACGCACTGGCAGTGGTTTAACGTCCAAGCATTTGAGAAAGAGTGTAATTGACAGTCAAGAAAAAGAACTATTTGTTGGACACGGATAGGAAACGCAAATGATATAACGAACGATAACTGAAAAACTCAATCAATGGAGGAAAACAATGCACACTGCATCACCCTGAAAACATTCACCTTTGCAGCGATTTATTCAGTCTTAATCCTACGATAACAGTGAAACCGAAAATATTAAGCACTAGTGTTATCCACTGGGAACTAGAATTTTACGTAAACAGGCTTGAAGAAAACCTAAGCTATGATAACAATAGGTAGAACGCTTGGGCACAGGTTTCATAGGAAACACAAAAACGATGGAAGTATACCAAACGTCTACCACAACAACTTTACAACGCCAACGCTATAAAATACAAAGATTCCAAAAAATCGAATTTACCAACCGATTCTTTATGACATAGGTCCAGTCCTGACCCGATAATGGTTCAACGCCTAATCGCATTACAACACTAACAGAAATTTACAAACGTGAGGCAGAGTCCAGACCTTGCAGTTCATCACAGTCCTTGTCGATCTTCTGCACACCTTTTTTCATATCTGGTCGACAGTATAGAAAACGGCACGTCACCCTTGTTAATTTCTCTGAGAAATATCATAGCAATGAATAGAAACAAAACCCGACGGTTCATTATCGATAGCTTCTGATAATTTGTCGATAACTAAAGCATATGTGGAGTCGTGAAAATTATTGTTCAAGGATGGTGTTTCACTGTCAAATTTGTTTAGGACGAAAATTCGAGAAAAATTTGAGAACTAAATTCGAATTTTCATATAATATGGAGGCGGAGGCGTCTGGCCAAGTAGATTGCTGTCAACTTGACCTTTCCAGGCTCTGAGGAAGGCGAAATCCGCCGAAACGTCAGCTCATTCGCGAATAAAGAATAATAACACCTCGCGTTTGCTCAACAAAAATACGAAGAATTACTACAGTTACAGTCTTATGCTTTGACTATCGCCTTATCAGATTGCAATGCTTGAGAAATGTTTCCAACACCCGTGTTTCCGCATACTGTAGCCCGACCCCGCCTATTGGTGCCTGACTCCATCGAGCCGAAAAGGTATATAAACGACACCACGGTTAGCTGGCTCAGTTCAGAGCAAGGATGCCTAAGTCACCATGTCTTTTCCTCACATCCATCTCATGTAGTAGNTATGGAGGCGGAGGCGTCTGGCCAAGTAGATTGCTGTCAACTTGACCTTTCCAGGCTCTGAGGAAGGCGAAATCCGCCGAAACGTCAGCTCATTCGCGAATAAAGAATAATAACACCTCGCGTTTGCTCAACAAAAATACGAAGAATTACTTGATCAATGCCGAGGTTAATAGAAAGTCGGTCGTGGGAGTTACTCGAATTTTCATAATTCCTAAAGCGACCGGCAGAGTCGCAAATAGAACAGGAACGTAACGTGCGACCATCAGCACATCTTCACCATATCTATTTCATGTAGTTCGTCCTACTTGACAAGACTGTTACAAGTCATGGTGAACTTGAAATACTAGAATATTAAACGTTCAGATAAAGTTCCCGATTGAGCTCACAGGAACAAACGAAATTTAACACTTACGTGATGATGTTACCTCTCCAGCAAACATTTGTTAAGAGACGCGATTACGGTTTCTGTAGAGTTCATTTTGTTTTTGGCTTCTTATTCTGTCCCACAGAACTGCCTCCCTATGCTTCTTGCAATCAATCGACAAATCGACTGCTTCCGGTAAATCGACAAAAGTCGACAAATCGAATTGTCCAACTTAAATGAGGTAGCGGGCGACGACTGGAGGAAGCTCGATTCTGTACTTAAAATTACGCGGAAAGCTGTTTTCGATACGAGCTCATAGCTCCATCATTTGAATGGCAATTGGTTGTTATTTCAATTCTATTCGCTATAAAAAAAATCACAGTTATTGTGTGCAATGGATGGGTTCAAAAGATACAGAAATCAACTGGACATAAGCGGAAAGAAACCTAAAATTCTGACAGCACTGTGTCTATATGACGCATTGTAGCAACACGCAGTAAATAATAGCGCAAAAGCTGCTTATACCTAAACAACGACAGGGCAAATTCTCTTCTGCAATTCTGTGATGGTCTAAATACGAAAACCTTCTAGTCATCGAAATATTACCGTCTGATTTCGAAAGAACGATAGTTCCGTAACCACTCAAAATTACGAATCGTTCATCACAGTAGTCGAGCAAAATTATGCGTCGTCGCGTGTGTTAAAGAAGTGTCGAATTTATTAGTTGATACTGTACTCACCATTGATCACTTGTAAGAATCTTGGAGTCTCGTCTGGGCTTACTAACGCATAAAAGAATATCAAGCCACTGAACACTACAACAACACCAGTAAATGTTACCTGAAACAAACATTCTCACAGACTTTTCCCTCCTCCATAATATAATAAGCTTAATAATAATAAGTAGCAGATAGAAGATTATACATTATACAAGCACTGCTAAAAGCTGTATTCTCTAACGTATTGATTATCGATGTCCCTGATAAACTCGTAGAAAAAAAGCGAAAGGCGATTGAGATTACACAAAACAATCGGAAACGCAAAAGCGCACAGTGAAGACTATTCTACACCTACTTTCAAGTTCATCGCAATTTCTTGAATGACTTTTTGCAATGTCTCGCAAATTTTATCGCAGATGAGAGCGCGTGTATCGAGAAATGTGTTTTTTTTTCATGACCTTCTGCTAGATTTCTTTTAATCCAGTACATAAAAACAAAACATTCAACTATAAGAGTTTCCGCTAATTTTCTGCAGGTTATAACCAAAGGGACACTGGGACTTGTCCAATAGCCTTTTTGGAAGTTGCTTAGTAGCTTTTTTCCATGTGTAAAGCTCTAATAGGAAATAAACATAAAGGACGACAGTTAAGTGTGATGAGTCACAAGATGAGGTATAACAATTCCTCCATGTTTCAATAAAATAAATTAATCGACAAACAACTTACTACCGGTTCTTCAACAAATGGAACAAGAACAAGTAGAAGACTAATAACCATAAAGAGAACCGTCAGGCCAATAGGGACCTTTATGGCATCTGCAAACTCATATATTACTGTACAGCATCATTCTAATTTCTCCATTATTTGATCACTAGGAAGGGTAGCGCAGTGGTAGCGATGCAGTTCATCAAGAGCACGGTGCTGGTTCAACTACGCACAGGACTCACCAAGCCCTTTATCACTCCGCGGTCGATGTCTTTGTATCGAGTTAAACCTTCTTTAGTGGAGCACAGCTCGAAATAGGCAACCTCAATACGCAGCACTCTTCTATACGAAACGGTTGTTGTTGATAATAATTCCTTAGTGATAATAATTTGTTTTTCAACAAACAATCCTACAGGAGCTGGTATTAAGTCAGCGAGCACATAGCGAATAGCAAATCGACGTTATTATTAAGGGATAGTCATACTAACAACAACCGCCCTGTATAAAAGAGCGCTGACTAATGAGGTTTTCTAATTCGAACGGTGCTCTATTGAAGAAGATTCGTCTATACGAAGATGAATACGCCACATCGAAAAGACAAACCACAGTAGACCAACGACTCTGATCATCGGCTCTGAGGAAGACGAAAACGACAAAACGGTGGCCGAATAAACATCTTTATCAAGCCCGTGCTAACTCAATAATCTAAGAAGGTATTGGTTATTTATACCACGGCCAAATAAAGGTCAGTTTGAGAAATATTGGTGCCGGACTTGATTAGGAGCAGATCAATTTCTACAACCCAGGTGGGAATGCTCTAGTCGACCTGTTCCAGGACTTCCGAGAAGTCGACTCGACCATCAGTGGGACAATCATAAAGTCGAGAATTCTCGAGCAGCAACCGAAAACAAATACCAAAAGTTCGAAAACTATGTTGCATGATGAATTCAATGATACGAACTGAATGCACGAAGTGCTGGGATCCACACAATACATGCGAAGACGGGTCGTGCAAGATAAAAAAAATTCAACATTCTTGAAGACTTGGAGGTATCGGCTGTAAGATGAACAATGATCAATTGTTACTAGACCGACTAACCTTCTGCGACAGGCAGCTTACTGTGGCGTATGTACAGTAACGCCGCTACAGTAACTGCCTTCTGTGCCCACATTACAAATGTGACGTAGTTTATCAGAGTCTCAATATCGATGAAAGACACAACGAACGCACATATCATCTATAAAATCAATTAAATTCGAAAAATCTTATGACTGCATCTAACAAGCGACCATCAACGAAGAAGGCTGATCTCTTACCTGTCCAAGAACGGCAGCTCGTGGGCTGTTCGATTTATCGCTCACACAGCTCAAAAATGTCGGCAAATGGCCTTCGCGAGCTGCGGCGTACATAAACCTAAAACGAACAAGAAAAAATATTCCATCTGATATGACTTTTTACAGTTTACCTTGATCCACAGAAGATATTACTGTTAAGCGTGCCGATTAGGAGTAAACCAACCATGAAAGGAATAGCATAAGAGAAGTTGCTCAACGTTTTTTGAGCAAAGTCCTAAAGATAAAGCATGCAAAATTTTCCGTAGCTAGGAACGATTTAACAACAGACTTTTATCTACTAATTATGCCCTGATTCGCCAATAGCGCAGATATCCAACCATAAGAGTGTGAACAGGGAAAAAGCTCTTAAAGCTCTTAATCAAGACAAAGACTGGAAGCGTTTACAGAATGAAACAGTGTCATCAATTTTTTGGAAGCCTAAAGCTGGTTCTCTTCTTCTTGACACCAGTTTTCGTATATCGTAGTGATTTATTTTGAAAAATTTTGCAACATTACCGAATATTGATAATACAATATGGAGAACTTCCTAGAAACTATCACCACATTTAACGAAAACAAAAAAAAATTAAACAGCGCTGAAGTAGCCAAAGCCGGTGTACATTTATGATAGACAAAAAAACCAGGTACCGATTCTGTTGCATGATTATATATCTCGTTCGCAAAAGTGTGTAGATGTGTATTTTTGCCGTCTCTCGTCTCTACTACGCAGGGTCTTCATTGCCGCATCGAATGAAATCCAATGGAGTGAACGTTACTCGAAAGAAGTTTCCTCAGGCATTGGGAACCTTTTATATAGAACGGTTATTCGTCTTTTGCCGCCTTTTACCCAATACGATCTGCTTCTTTGGCGTCAAAGTATTGTTTAGCAGTCGGTACTACATTACGTAACAAATGCGATTATTTTTACAGCGCACAACAAAACTTACTACGCGCTAACATGTTCGTATCTGAAGATAAATATTAAAATTGAGATTGATTTTCTAAGAATATAGTACTAGCTATGAACAAACGTATGGAACCTAACCCTGAAAGTCGACAATCACGCTGAAGTGGGGAAACAAACTAACCCACAATTTACAATCGACAGATTTTCAGCTGGGAAGATCGGAGCGAAGACAGGGCGATGGCCCTCGCTAGGTTAAGAAGGAGGGAAACAAGTGGACGACACTTTGCTAATGTGTTCAGGATCGAATACTTGAATACGACCGCCCAAACGGAATGGATATTAGAATTAGAATATTAAACAAAATTTTACTGATCTCCAAAAATCAGAAATATCCGTGTAGTAAATCTCAAGGCCGACTTATTAAAATCGACATTGGTCGACAATTCACCATTTTTCTGATAAGCAAACACGAATTTGGTATTATAGCATTTACTAGTACACAATGGCTGACGTCTCGGCGGTTTCGCCTTCTTCAGAGCCTTGAAAGGTCAAATTGAGACTAGATTTCACGTCAATTTGACCTCTCCAGGTTCTGAAAAAGGCGAAACCGCCGAGAAGTCAGCCCCATTGTGCATTAATAAATGTTGTAATACCATTCTTTTTTGCTCATCAAGAAAAACAGTGAATTACTTCCAAAAAGTCAAATTAAAACATCGCTCAGTACTCACTGAAGCAACGGCAGTACTATTCTTGACCTCGTCTGGAGACAGAGCCACAAAATATGAAAGGTTAATAGCAACGTAAGTAAAACAGACGATCAGAATACCAGATATTAACGATAGTGGCATCGTTCTGAAAAGAATCGAACACGTATGCGATACCTAAAAACAACTGTGAATCTGGGCCACTACTTCTTTCATAGATGTTTGAACTCTTAATCATTTACGTGCCGTCTAAAAGGCCAGTACAGCGAATGGAGAAAGCAAACTATCCCACCTATCACTAAAGTGCAATCGAAATTCTCCCAAAACCAAGTCAAAAGAGAAATACGTATCTCGATAAAAACCAATTTGAGTTTAACTTTTTGGAATTTTAGTCATAAAACAAACCGTGTAGGCTTGTGAATTTCTGGTGTTCCGTAGTTCAATATATCCCATCCAGCGTAACTCCACAACCCTCCATAGAACGCCAATGCCAGCTTGCCTGGAGCCCAAACACTGCCCTCCATAGGGTGTTCCAGATTATGTGTCCAGTCTAGCAAAAACATCACACTACATTCCATTATATATATACATAAATATATATGTATACAGTACAGAAAAACATAATTCAAAAAAAAGTCTCACTTTCAAAGACAAAGTAGTAGAATCCTGTAAACATTATCGCAGCCATAGCCAACATTTTAGCACTGGTCACAAGTACTTGAAAAGGAGCAGCAAATCGATCCACAGAGTAAAAGTTCAATATCGTTAAAACGACTAAAAATAACAAATGATTTCGAATAAAAATAGATACGAAATTTTGTTAATCTTCTCACCAAGAAGTGCATATCCTATACTTCGTTGACCGAATTCATGCCACGCTAAGTCAATTGGTAACAACGGTGCAATGCCGTTAACTGAAAAAAAACTCACATTTTACGAAAATGCGACAGAAAACGTGGAAACTTACGAATGTACTGCCCAAACGTTTGTGCCTGCACTGCAGCTGATGCAGGAAATGTTATAAATACTGATACCCACATAAAAGAAAATGCAATAGCGTCCCATCCTATGAAAACTGTGTACGCGAAGTCACAACCAGGTTCTTTGATAGAAGTTCCAAGTTCGATGAAGCAAATGGCGCCTGACAGTCAACTTAGCTTCAGAATTCGAGAGTGAAAAAACACAATTACAGTAATTTGATAATGGTATTATCATATCTCCTCCCAACAGTTTACCGTTTCATCGTAGCTGGGAGGTGTTCCAGGGTGTCGGACTTTGATGCACAACGTGGGTAATCATCACCCAGTAGGGTCTCCCAAGCTGAGGAGACCGGAGTTTCCATAACGAAGCCCAGCTACGAGTGAACCAATACAAGGATCAACACCGTCCTGGTACTAAAGTCGCATGGTGGCAAATCTCCCTATGATCCACAACGGCTGCGACTGCCTGTGGTGGTGACGACTTGGGTAAGACTTTGGACTGCCCTTGGAACTCCCGGGAACCACAGTGGTTAAACCAGTAAATCTCTAAAGAATGGAAATTCTACTGGAGTCGCACAACCGGTGAAGATGGGCCATCCAAGTATCCAAGTAAGTATCACCAGATCTCATAAATTTTTCTGTCATCCTTCATCCCTTTATCTTTAATAATATTCGCTTAATGCTAATAGACTAATTGGTATATTAACCCTTCTTCATATCATTTTTACCTATTAGTGATATTAGTCCACATCCTATCCAGACAATAATCGATAGTCCCACGGATTGTGTGTATTTGAGTATTGATGTCGGCGTTATGAATATTCCAGATCCAATAATGTTACCTGAAAAAACAAGCTATGCATCGTTTTCTTCTTCAGCAATCGCGAGGTTTTTAAACAGCATACATTTCCTTCCATAGAGAAACACAATATAATAAAACACTAGCTGACATTTCGGCAGTATCGCCTTCTTCAGAGCCTGGAAGGGTATGAAACAATCTACTAGGCCAAACGCTTCAATACCACTTACAAAAAGACGAAAAACTCTATGGTAATTACATGACCAACAGCTTCTCGAAAAAAACATCGCTTTTTACGTGACTACCAATAAGTTTAGAACAGCCGATTATACTCGCATATGGTTGATGACTGCACCATCCCACATCAGAGATCGATGTTAACATACAGGGTCAGGTCGCGTATGACCTCTGGGCATTCATCCCTGCTATTCATTGTAGGGTTTCTGGCATTTATCCAAAAGCCTCAAAAAGTTTTCGCGCTGGTGTCCTAGTCTCCTGTGCAAGGATATTGACTTTCACATCAAAATCGTTTCCACCATGCTTTTGTATCCTATGCGTGCCTAGGGCGGTGCTTCGTCTTAGTTTTCGTTTGCCATCTAGGTGTTTTTATATACGGATACACAAGGATCTGCCCGTTTCGCCTATATATTGATCTCCGCAATTATTACAAGAGATCAGGTATGTCGTACCTGAAGTCATGCAATCACCGTCCCTGCCGTAAGGGCAAATTACGCAGTTTGTTGTTTCACATACAGGCGGTTACGAACTAATTGACGACGTAGAGTATCCGGTGGTATTTCAACAATCGCCACCGATTCCTCTAGACCTGCCCTTCTTAAGCATCGTTTTATAGCTACGCTTACTTCATCGCTTATAAAGGCAATATAAACGGGACTGTTCCTAGAGCGTCTACGTAACGCGTCTCCTATTAACGCGTACGTGATGGAGTCTTTCGACGTTACCGCACTGTACACCAACGTGTCGAATGGCTACGCAATGCAAGCCATCTTCGAACTTCTTGTTGAACATGAAGGAAGAATAAATATGCATGGCTTGTCCATCCAGCAGCTAATGGCTCTCTTAAAGGAGTGCCTAAATTGCTTGATTTTCAGATGGTCTGGGAAATACCACACCCAAGTGGTATACCACAGGGCTGGCAATGGGACAGCGGTTGGCACCAAGCCTTGCCATTGTGTTTATGTCTAAGATAGAAGCCCCTGTTCTCGATCTCCAGCCATTACTCTACTGCAGATATGTAGATGATTGTTTTGTCGTCTTCTCTACGCAGGAGGAGATGGACAAATGCTTCGAATTATTGAACGAGCAGTCCGAGTACATAAAGTTCACCCGGGAAAAGCCGAGAAAAAACTGGTTTCCCTTTTTGGACGTTCAAATAAACCTATCAAGTAGCGGTTACCTGACAAAGTGGTATCGAAAGCCAAGTAACAAGAACATTTTTGTTCATTTCCTTTCTTCCCACCCTTCACACACAAAGAGGGCGATTGTGAGAAANAGCCATTACTCTACTGCAGATATGTAGATGATTGTTTTGTCGTCTTCTCTACGCAGGAGGAGATGGACAAATGCTTCGAATTATTGAACGAGCAGTCCGAGTACATAAAGTTCACCCGGGAAAAGCCGAGAAAAAACTGGTTTCCCTTTTTGGACGTTCAAATAAACCTATCAAGTAGCGGTTACCTGACAAAGTGGTATCGAAAGCCAAGTAACAAGAACATTTTTGTTCATTTCCTTTCTTCCCACCCTTCACACACAAAGAGGGCGATTGTGAGAAATATGTTTCGAGCAGCCACCTCTGTGTGCACTACCAGACAACTAAAGGAAGAATCGCGCGACTTGGCTCGGCAGATAGCCATCTCCAATGGCTACGAAATAGTAACCCCACGAGATAAGTTTAGAAGGAGAGCGACGCGCCCATGCGAAACACTTGGCCAAAAGAAAGTCCCGTTTATGTTGCGTTTTATAAGCGATGAAGTAAGCCTAGCTATAAAGCGATGATTAAGAAGGACAGGTCTAGAGGAATCGGTAGAGATAGTTGAAATACCACCGGCTACTCTACGTCGTCAATTAGTTCGTAACCGCCTGTATGACCGTCTGTGTGAAACAAATTGCGTAATTTGTCCTTACGGCAGGGACGGTGATTGCATGAGTTCAGGTACGATATACCTGATCCCTTGTAATAATTGTTGTCGAGATGAATATATTGGCAAAACGGGCAGACCTTTGTGTATCCGTATAAAAGAACACCCAGATGGCAAACGAAAACTAAGACGAAGCACTCCACTAGGCACGGGTAGGATACAAAAGCATAGCGGAGACGATTTTGAAATAAAAGTCAATATCCTTGCACAGGAGACTAGGACACCAGCGCGAAAACTTTTTGAGGCTTTTGGATAAATGCCAAAAAACCCTACAATGAATAGCAGGGACGAATACCCGGAGGTCAATGCGACCTGACCCCATATGTTCGCATCGATTTTTGATGTGGGATGGTGCAGTCATCAACCATATGCGACTATAATCAGCTGTTCTAAACTTCCTCATTTGAAGTCACGAAAAAGCGGTGAGTTTTCGAGAAGCTGTTGATCATGTAATTACCAAGGAGTTTTTCGTTTTCTTGTAATTGTTATTGAAGCCTTTGGCCTAGTAGATTGTATATCAGTATACCCTTCCAGGCTCTGAAGAAGGCGATACTGCCGAAACGTCAGCTAGTGTTGTATTGTATGGTGTTTCTCTATGGAAGTAAATCTATGCTGTTAAAAACCTCACGATTGCTGAACAAGAAAACGACGCATTCATATTCTAATGCCGAGGTTAACAGAAAGTCGATTCTGGGAACTATTACAAGCTATGCACCCTTTACGTTGCAATTCCCATGACCGACTTTCTTTTAACCTCGGCGTTGATTGATAATTCGTTGTTTTTCTTCAATAAGCAGACACGAGGTTGTCATTATAGAATTTATTAGGATACAATAGCTGACGTCTCGGCGGTTTCGTCTTCTTCAGAGCTTGGAAAGGTCAAACTAAGATGCGATCTACTCAGCCAAACATTTGTATTCGCACAAGAAAAAACTTCATCTAAACACCCACCCTTTATTCGTTGTGACTATTTCAGTAATTTAGTGCATAGCAGTCTCACAGAGTAATACATGAGCGAGGACCGTGCCAGTGTCAGGTCATTTGATCGGCCTGAGGTATGGCGCCAGGTCACGCGTAATGACAAGACACTCCTCCTCGTGGTTCATTCCTTGATTTGGAACTAATGCAAAACACTTCAAGAGTTTTACGCGCTGATGTTTTCGATTCGTGCGTGAGGATAGTGACTCCTACTTCAAAATCTTCTCCATTGTGTTCCTGCATCCTATGCGCACCTACTGGAGTGTTTAGTTTTAATTTAGATTTACCGACTAGGTGTTCTTTTATGCGGACGCAGAGCGGTCTACCCGTTTCGCCAACGTATTCGTCCCCACACACTTTACAAGAGATCAGATAGACTATACCCGAACTCATGCAATCACCGTCTCTACCGTTAAGGCAAATTATGCAGTTTTTCGTTATACATAGACGGTTGCGAACTAGCTGTCGTCGTAGAGTGTCCTATGGTATTTCTATCACTCTTACGGAATTCTCTAGACCAGCCCTTATCAAGCAACGTTTTATAGCTGCACTTATTTTGTTTGAAACAAAGGGCAAAAGGAACGGAGCTTTGTTTTCGCTAGAATTATCGCTCTAGAGCGTGGGTTTTCCTCCATACCTATGTCGAGAAGCTACAGTTTCGTAACCATTTGAAATGGCTATTTGGCGTGCCAGTTTCAAGGATTCTTCCCTCTGATCTCTTCCTGTGCACACGCTAGTAGCGTTTCGAAACATATTTCTTATAAGCGCCCTTTTACTGTGTGGGGATGAGAGGAGAGGTAATGAACCACTATATTCTTTTTGCTTGGCTTTCGATGCCATTTGTGTTGTAGCCGTTTTCGGATAGGTTGATTTGAACGTTTGGAAATGGAAACCAGTTTTCTTTAGGTTTCTCAGGGGTGAATTTTATGTACTCACCGTTCGTTCAATAACTCAAAGCATTTGTCCATCTCTTGTGTGCAGTAGATGACAAAACAATCATCTATATACCTACAGTGGAGTACAGTAAAACTGGCTTCCATTTCTAAACGTTCAAATCAACCTATCCGAAAAGACTACGACACAAAATGGTACCGAAAGCCAAGCAGTAAGAATACAGTGGTTCACTACCTCTTCTCATCCCGCACACACTTAAAGGGCGCTTTTAAGAAATATGTTTCGAACTGCTGCCAGTGTGTGCACAGGTAGAAAGCAGAGGGAGAAATCTTCGAAACTGTAGCTTCTCGACATAGGTATAGAGGAAAACCCACGACCCAGAGCGAAAATTCTAACGTAAACAAGGCTCCGTTCCTCTTGTCCTTTGCTTCAAACGAAATAAGTGCAGCCATAAAACGTTGCTTAATAAGGGCCGGTTTAGAGAATTCCGTAAGGCTGGTAGAAATACCATCGAACACTCTATAATGCCAGTTAGTTCGCAACCACCCATATGACCGCCTACTTATAACGAAAAGCTGCATAATTCGCCCTAACGGTAGAGACGGTGGTTGCATGAGTTCGGGTACAGTCTATCTGATCTCTTGTAAAACGTGCGGGGACGGACACGTGGGGGAAACGGGTAGACCGCTCTGTGTCCGCATGAAAGAACACCTAGTCGGTAAACCTAAATTAAAACCAAACACTCCACTAGGCGTGCACAGGACGCAGAAGCACAACGAAGATTTTGAAGTAGAAGGAAACCAAGACAGCCATAAAACTCTTGAAGCGTTTTGGATCAATTCCAAAAATTCGAAAATGAACCCCAAGGAGGAATGTCTTGTCATCACGCGCTACCTGGCGCCATCCCTCAAGCTGATTCAATGAGCCGACACAGCCACAGTCCTCGACCATGTATTACTCTGTGTGACTGCGCCCCACCAACTAATTTAAATACTTACAATAAATAAACAGTAGGTGTTTAAATG